ATTTTACACTTTACACAAATAATCTGAACTCTCACGTCGCTCTAGTATTTTGCCAGAAACAGAAAAAAGGTTCGAATATTTTCGATTTCGAATAATCGAAGTTCGATTATGTTCGATTTCATCGAATTTCGATTATTCGAATTTTAATCGAAATCGGTGCATGCCTACTTTCGAGCTTCAATAGGGAAAAAATCTTGCAATTTACTCAATCAAAGCACTGAGTTTCAAGCAAAACGTTTTGCTCATTTGGTGCTTCATATTGATGTTGATGTTCTGTGCAGTTCTGTTACTCACCATTGATTTGGCATTGTCTTCATGTTGTTTTATATAATATTTTTGAAAATTTTCTAGAGCTTGTTTTTGTTGATTATATGCACGCAGTATATTTTCCTCATTTTTACTTAGAATCTAAAAAGGTGAAAAAAAAACAAAACCAAATTGACAATATGTTGTGCGATCACAAAAGAAATATAAACATTCCTCCTACCTGTTGCTTATTTAAATCTGGCTTTTCACTCTCAATAAATCTTTGACAAATTTGTAATAATTCTTTTTTAGCTAATTCCATATCATAATGTGTCACTGGTTCATTTTCATCTTCATTTTTCATCACAAGAAATATTTCTTTAATGCGCCTTAACCATAAATATGAACTATAAGCTTCATTTAAATCATTTATTGATGATTTTTTTCCGTCAGTCAAAATGCATCTAGCTCTGTTAGATCTCAAGGTAACTTACAACTTGTGATGGGGTCAGCACATAGAAGATCTCGCTTAGTCTTGTAGACAACGTCTTGGAGCGATACGTCGCCAATTAAAAGAAGCATCTGCTCACGTCCAGCTTCAAATCCATAAAATTTGTATTTTGAGTAAGATGCATGTGCATTATATGATACTGACTTTACAAATAACAGTGCCCGTCTAAAGTCTATTCACCGTTTAGCGACACATAATCACATGGGATTTTAATAGTGCAGAATATGATCTAGTCAATAAATTAAAGCTTTCTCTGCTTTCGACGAGAAGTAAATATTTCTGCCTGGTTCTCTTTTTCAAAATTTTCAAAGAGTTCTCCCCTCTTTCTAGATTAGTTACCAGCAGACATAACTCCTTCACCTTCAAAACTCGTTTGCGCCAACATCTGCAAAAATGATTGAGGTAGTGTAAAGGTGGCAAAAGTTTTATAGGGCCTTAGCAGTGCTTTTTTACTTTCCTGGCAATACGCGTTGTTCTCATTTTCACGTTAACGTTTTGTTTGAAAGTTTTAATGTAATACCTCTTGAATTAATGGCCAGAATAAAATAAAAAACAAAGAAAACAACAATATTAATTCATTCTCAAAAAGAAACTTTGATGGACATCATGAAAAAGAGCATTGGAATACGTTTTGAATTTCTACATGCAATCCGGTCTCACTACTGACACCCGCTCGGACTATGAGACCGGACCGCAAGGTACATCACTTACATTTCAGTTTATCTATGAATAAACTTGGCAAAGGCATCCTTCCCTTTGCAGGCAGTCCGATCTTATAGCCCGAACAGAATATAAGATATACCTTCTTTAGAGATATAGTCTCGTCAGGATATATTTTGATGTCGCGAATCCAGTATGGTAGACTAAAGCCTTGATAATGCTGTTATTCATTTAAAACCTATCATTGCCGAAGAAAGTGAGTATAGAAGGAAAACACAAAAATTATGTGTTGAAAGTCTTCTTTCCTCTGATAAATAGTGATTTTACAAGAAACGTTAAAAAAGTTGAGCACATGTTCTGTACAGTTGGAGTTGTTTCCACGATGCGATAAATTCCTTTTGTTAGCAAAAGAACTTTCAAGAAATACATTACCTGTAGGTGGTATTTATCCATTCATGTTTTCTATATTCAGATAGCCCCAACAGCTTTCTATTCAAAACTGAAAAGCGCACGGTTCTAGCACCTTTCTAGCAAACGGTATTTCAAAAACAATGAAATACATTGGGATAAAATCTTAACGCTAATCCAGCATTACGCCAATCGTACTTTTCCCCAGTTGGTGAGATTCCTCAGGAATTTCGCCAATTAGCGAATCTGATAATACGAATTATTTTCATTACTGGCGTATGCCAAATTATTAATTTGCCTGTTTGGCGAATGCCCTGAGGAATATCGCCAATTGGCTAACACGATAATACAAAAATATTTTTTTGTTGGCGAATGTCACACTATTGTCCATCCAAAAAAAAGGATGGTCCGTGGGTATTTTTTGAATAACTTTTGAATAGCAA